CATGTTACTGGCAGTAACATGATGTGTTCTCGGCATCTGCCACCCCCCTGCCATCCTAGACTGTGACCTATCTTTGGTTACATTGAAATACATGGTTGTGTATCTCAACCTTGTTTTTTTTTCTATGCATGTAGATGTGATGAGATCTATTTAAATTATTTTATCAATAAGCAATCTTGTTATAAAAACCTGGTTTGCTATTAAACCTGCATTGAAGCAGCCATATTTTCTCAGTGGATACAGTATATGAAGGCTCTGCATGGTGCACAGTACCTGAACTTTACTACCTCCCTCTTGAATGTCTGATAGAAAATACTGGACTCTCTATTAAGGATGGGCTCAGGCGTGTTCGCAGCTCAACGTGCCGTGTCCGCCAGGAAGCTGACAGCGCCAATCACAGGTACTGAGACATTTTCTAGGTCCGCAGCTGCATAGATCGGGAAATGTCTCAGTGGCTGTGATTGACCTGGCGGGCTTGGCACGTGGAGCTGCGAACGCGCCCGAGCCCATCCTTACTCTCTATCAGGTCTAAGCTTTTTTGGCAGTCTTTAACCCCTTCATGACCGAAGCCTTTTTTCGTTATTTGCACCCATGGCCTGAAAATTACTTCAAACCCCCAAACATTATATATTTTCTGAAAGCCAAGACCCCGTAGAATAAAATGCTGGCAGTTGTAAATGTTTATGTTGCACAATATTAGCGCAACATATGATCAAACCCAAAAATGTAGTAAAAAAATGCACTCAAGTTAAAACACAATAAAATACACATTGTTAAATAGAAAATAAAATATGAGGTTTCAATGAGTAAATAGATACCCAACAAGCCCAGGTTAAAAATTGTGTGCATCTATGTACAGCTATGGGACCGGAAGTGATGGAATACGAGTAGCTCCCGGTCCCATAGAACGAGGAGGAAATCGGTGAATGGACGTTCACCGATCTCCTCCCCAGCTTCCCACCGACACCCAAGAAGCAGGTCTCGGGCCCGTAGGAGAGGCAGAGGAGCCATTGAAACACGGCAGGGGTGTCGGGCGGGGAGGGGGCGGCCCATTTACCGTCCCAGAGAATTGATCTGGCGACAGCTGAGTCACCAGAATTGCTTCCATTGTAAAGCCGACAGTCGGCTTTACAAATGTAAACAGGTCACTAAGGGGTTAAGAAGGAATGCTACTCACTTTTCCTGGTATCCAAAAATATGTAACAGTATGCATGTAAAATGTGAAGGTCACAACAAAATCCTTTTCATGTAACTGCTGCAATAATAATAAAAAATGTGTACTGACTGAAACAACACTAGGCTTAAGAAATGCTACGAAGGAAACACTGCAACTGTTCTAAAAACAGACAGTCCTCTTGACTTATTTTCCAGCTGCTTTTAGTATAGTCCATTCATTTAGTACAATCAATTATAGCTAGATATGTAAACGCTCACTGTGCTTGTGGGTAGGGCTGCAGACACTCCCCAACCCTTCCCTACTCCCATGAATGTGTTATGTATGACCTTTGGTGCACTTCTTACATTGGAACCTTACTTTTCTATGGCTCCATTCCCTGAAATGCCTACAAGAGCTGCATTAGCTACTAAACCAAATGTTACCAGGGTCTTCCATAGGAGGCTGCAGTTGGGATTTTTGGATCAACACACACAGGGTCAATTTAGGCAAAAGCCAATCACCTAAAAGCATGTCTTTGGAGTTTGGCAGGAAACCAGAGGACTCAGAGGAAACCTACGCAAGCATAAGTAGAACATGCAAACTCTATGCAGACAGATCCCTGGCCAAGATTTGTACCAAGGATCTAATTGCTGCAAGGCAGAAGTCTTGTCATGATTGTATGATGGAACCTTCATCTTGTTAAACTTCAGAGGGTGGTGCTAAGGACCTGGGAACACTTGGCCAATGTTTTCACAGGTTCACATTCAGGGTCACTCATAAACTGAGGACACCAGTAAATGAAGGGATTTAGCAAGTGGAGCTGCAAGCTGAACAGATGTTCGTCCTTTTTATAGGTATATACATGTGTATTAGAGGCATTTTCCCAGATATATAGCAAATTCTCATGTGTGCAATTAGACTGGGCACCTTGGAGTCACCTTGTAGGCCCTCAGTAAGCTGGGCAACAGAAATGTGTGTCTTGAAGTGGCACAGCAGTCATGTATACCATTGTAGTGTCTCTATAGCAAGCACTCTTACAATTTCTCTTTTCTAGAAGATCACCAAACTATGTCATAGCCTTGTCTATAACCACTTTTTAGTGTTTGTGGCACTGGCAATCTGAGTAAAGTACAACCAATATTCTATGTCTTGTCTGCCCCTTTAATGGTTCCTCACCTTGTATTGTACTGTTATAAGTGGAAAACTTTCTCTTTCGCTCTGGAGTGTACCTTTAATCTGCTACAGCAGCTTAGCACTGACACAGAACAAATATTAAACTGGGAACAGCATATACCCACAATGAAGGAGCAGAAAGAATATATTAATGCTTCAAGTATTATACAAGGTGAAAATCTGACAGTTAACCACTGACAAGGATTCCCTAGAGAGTGGCAATGTCAGATTTCCCCCCACATCTATCTCAAGAACATTCAATATTTAATTTTTTTATTTTCTGCCTCACGTCTATGACCAGCATTTCTCCAGCCTGTATTCTCCTTTGGATAATTGTAAAGGTATACCTGTCTTCTGCATGACATGATCCACATGCAATGCAGAAGATGGTAGATGTATTTGTTAATGTTCATAATCTTCAATGAAGCCATTTGAAATTAATTTAAATATACAGAAAACTTTGATCCACAGAAAATGTATAAAGTGGTTGTTTGTGGTCTCTGTGGCTGTCTGGATGCCCTAGATTACCACAGACACTTCTCCTCTGGACTGACAAGACGCATTTGCAAACAAGCAAATACAGACACAGGCAAATACTGATCACTCAGAACTGAGTGATCTGATTGGCTGGTCGCGTGTTGCCGCTTTGTGATGCCTTCATTGCATCGCGCTCTGTGATTGGCTGGAGATGAACTTTTTCATCTCACGACGCTGCGCTACGCACGCTGTCGCCGGGCAGAGCGGGTGATCGGTAATCACTAGACACACTGCAGGCGAAGGACCGCGAGTCGCCGCTCGCCTGTGCGCCGCGCTGCTTCGCCTGCAGTGTGTCACGGCCTTAAACCTCTCGTCCATGGAAAGTCGCACACGTTCCTTGGGCGGCCCGGTACCTTTGATCCACGGACCGGTACCGGACCGCGGCCCGGGGGTTGGGGACCACTGCCCTAGAAGATACTTTTGGTTTTCAGAGGTCTCCAAATTACAGACCACATCCAGCCCAGTACCTACCTATCCTGTACCTATCCTGACGGCAACAACCCTGGGTGGCAGTGGATGTGCCAGTCTGTGTAGCATGATACAGAGACCTGTGCATCCACTCCCTGCCAGCCAACCATGGCTTTCCTCCAGTCCTCAGGACCACAAGGCCTTAAGAAAGGTGGCCTAAGCTCCGTTGGAACTTCAGACAAAATAAATCTTTGCTGATTGCTTTAAATTCTCCTGCTGCAAGACCTGTTAGTGCGTCTGTCCGTCTCTCTCTCCCTCTCTCCCTCCCTCTCCCTCTCTCTCCATCTCTCTCATCAATGTACATCACATAATCTGAATATGGGGGAAGCCATATTTTCTCTGTACATTTTCTGAAAACCAAACTTGCCTGTTAATATAATTAATAAAAATAAACAACATACTAATATATTAGACTCTTAAAGTAATACATGAAAATACAACCTTGTTAAAAGATTTAATATCGCACTAGATTGCATTGGTAATAGTGAGATATTCAGTGTTGGTGCTGGCTGCAAAAGTTTACAAAAGTTGTAAAATGATTTGCTTTTTTTATATAATTTTTAATTGAAAAACTACCATGAAAAGACTGTGCAGATGTTAGACATGTTAGACTTGAAGATATATCTATATATACAGTCCAATGAGAGCACCAAACAGACAGTATGAGATTCCAAAAGCAATTAATAATAGAATGGGTCCATAAAAGACAACACAGAACAGCCAAAGTGTTTCAAGGGTTCAGAGACCTCCCCATCTTCAGGGCTTAAACATGATAGGTAGTATTATGGACTAAAAAATGGCAGAACTCACCAGGGGTTAATTGCTTGATGTGTAGGATATAACCAACATCAGTGAATTAGCAAATGGTCCTAGATTTAAAGAGACCCTGTCATATGCTTAAAAATTCATAAGACACATACCTGTGAAGAAGAAACAAAATACTTTCCCCACAATGGTTCCTCTTGCTGATCTCCACATCACCACTTTCTTCTGCAGTGAGGTGGAGATCCTTAATCCTAGAAGTGCTGACTTCAATACAGGCTTTAGGAGACCAGTTGTCCAAGTTGAAGCAGCTTTCAGGGATGTGGGCAGAAAGAGAGGCAAATATTTTATTTCCTTTTTCACAGATACTGTATGTGCTTGCTTATGAGTACGTGACAGAGTCTCTTTAAAAGACTGGCTGAAGATAACCAGCTGCACTGATGGAGATTCCAATATGGCTGCCAACATTCGACTATTGTTTTAGACACCCTACAGTACAATTCAGAAAGGGCAAGTTTATCATTCAGTGCTTTATTATACTTTCACAACTATACATGTCATTATTACCTAACAGCAAGACAGGAGGAAGCATCTCATGTTTCGTAGTGCGCTTTCCCCTTTGTCAACCTTGAAATAACCTGCTGCATTGTCAAGAATGATTTTTGTCACATCTCAAAGTGGCCACTGCTTTAGGTACCAGAAAGCAGCAGTCTGGAAAGGCCAGGTTTTGATTGGTGGAAAGGTGTGACTGTCACATCAATTCCCAATCATTATTGTTATTTATTCTGCATTTCATATTCAATGGTAAACTGAAGTGAATGTCAATTGATGCTTTGCTTGTTGTTCATTTACAATCGGCTGTATGCCTGATAATTAATTGCTGTGTCTACATTTCTGTCTTCAGAGATCTGAGGAATAACTTGATTAGCACCATCGAGCCGGGGGCCTTTTATGGACTTTCTGAACTGAGGTGTCTGTAAGTATTAATTCTGTTTGAATTACTTTGTAAATTGTGTTCACATCGACATTTTACCACAGGGAACAGCAATATGTCACCAAGCAATAACAGTGGATCTTGGCACTGGGTATAAACTATTACAGTGATTTTTAGATGGGGGTAGATGTACTACAAGGATTTAACACTAAATGGAAATGTTTCATTATTCCCTAATGACAATGTACTTTTCACTGTAATTATACATGGCATGGGTGCAGCCATGTTGTATGATAAAGAGGTATATTTCTATGTTCTAAAGCTTTAAATGATTTTTGTGGACAAAACATCACTGCTACTTTTTCCAGTAGAAAATTCTTTATTTTTAATTCCTTCATTTTATACACAATAAGGCTTAGAGCTTGCGTTGACAGGCTGTTGTTCGTTTTGAGCAGGTTTTGCATTCAAAAACAAGTCTATGAGAATTCCAAACCAAACATAAAATCGGTGCTGATGTCACCACACTGTTGTCTACACAATCCAAACTTCACTTGGGGGCAGCCCTCTCAACCTCAACTGGGGGATCTTGAAGTGAAAAACAGAAAACAGAAAAAGGCTTCACTAATTGGTGATTGATGTTGTTTATGCCAATCTCCTCATCATGGTTGTAAGTACCATTATCCGTTTTTTATTATTTTATTTAGTGTATGTCATTACACAAAGAGTATATGGCGTACCTGGTAGAGAACCGAGTAGTTGAGGAGGCCTCCTTGGCAACTCTTGTCCCACACCCCTGAGAGTGGAGACAGGGAGTGAGAGGACAGAGAGCAGCACCAGTGCCAGAGGGTGCCGGGCACTGTGCTTGGGTAAGTCCCGAAGCTGGTCTCTAAGGAAGCAGGAAGCAGGTGTAGATACAGCTGGAAAGATCACCAGGAACACGGCTGGAGCAGGACGGAGTCAGGCAGGCCAGGGTCAACACCGATCCCGCAGCGAAGTACAAAGCGACATGCAGAAGAGTAGTCTAGGAGCAAGCAGAGGTCATGGCGGGCAGCAGTCAGGCGTAGTCTAGTAGATCTGGGTCAAAGCAGCAGAGCACTGGAACAGGCAGAGGCACAGGAACACACACAACAGCTGAAAGACCATTCAGCAATGATCCATAGGACTGGCAATCTGAAGCTGCGTCACTCCCTGTGCGCCACGTTGGTGCGTCTTCGCACGCACGTTATGTTGAAGACAGGCCTGTGCACATGCGCAGAAGCACTCGCACGGCAAGGTATAGTCTTACAGAGGAGGTGCCATTTAATGATTTCTGCTTTTAGAATGCCAACCCCGCTTGAACCAGGCAAAATGCACCTTTTAATAAATTCTGAATGATCTCAGCAATGTCTCCAACTCATGTTATCACAGCACACAAGCCCAAAGCCCATATTTATTTGGACAATGCAGAGGGCAAAGATGATGCACTACAACCCAGAGCAACCAATAAGAAACTATCCTATAATGATCTGATCTGTTCATATCGCACATCATCCTTGCACCAATTTTTTTTAAAAGAACCGCTGTTTTACACCTAAGCTAAAGGCCGAAAGGAGAAAAAAAAACTTTCATAAAATAAAAATTATCCAGATGCTAAGCTCCAAATAGGATTTACTGAAGCTGAGCACTTTTGGCTCCATATCTATCATTTAATCTAGAGAGCAATCTGAAAATCAACGAGCATGACTATATATTTGTAGAGATGATTGTGATTGTAAATTCACAGCTTACATGTGTTCAAGCTGTTTATATGTTTTCAAGCCATTAAACAGTAGACTGAACAGTCATTCATGTTTAATTGTTTGGAGAGCACATTTTGTTCTTGCTTCTGAAAAACAGTAGGCGTAACAAGTATCTGCGGTTATATATAGGTATTACAATTTACTATTCCCTAGCCCGTAACCCAGTTCTCCTCTGTTAAAGTAGCAGACAGGTGTGACACAAATCATAAAATGATATAGCATTTAAGTTGATTTATATTGTCATTAACTAAACATTCATTGAAGCTATTCCAGTCCAGATTGGTAAAAATGTTTAAAAAAGCTTGAGCATTTAAAGTGTAATAGCCTGTGTTCAGTTTTTCATACTGGGATAGATAAACTGGAACTCAGCTCTATAAGAAAGCTTTCACATAGTTAGAGTTGTTTAGCTCTTCTGATATATCCTTTTACCAATTTTGTCTCAAGCTGGGAGGGCTGCAAATATGCAACTTTGCAGATCTTCCCATAATAAATTATTGTGAATGTCCATCCTCACTGGGAGTCCATTAGAAGCGTGCTGTTTTTATGGTTGCCAACCATCTGGTTTTAAAAAGCGATGTCTGTTTTTTAGAACCACAATGCAGTCTTTTAATTGCTGTGCAGAGTGTCAGAGAGTGGGCAGTCTGCATAGCAAACCAGCCTACACCCACTCTGTGTTACAAAAGCCTGTATGAATGAAGCCTGGAGGCTTATCCTTACACTGTATTTTGGTTGGTGCTTGTGTGCTGATCACACTTTTTTTGAACATATTTCTGCTCCAGCATACATGTAATTGTAAATAAATAAATAAAAAGTGTAAATAAATAATTAATAAATGGGACAACTTGCAAAATACAATTTGTACTGTCAGAAGGAGAGGCTGAGAAGTTATAGGATACTTTAATTCCCAAATGGAGGAAAAACTTTAACCGCACCTTTTAAACTTGCCTACTTTAGAAAAGCCATACCTACCCTTTTTCGTGCAGTATACATGCTGCAACAACTTCCCCCTCATTCTGTGGGCCAAACAATGTATGTGCCCACCCTCACCACTGGCAACTATGGCAAGTGGAGGGTCCCTACACAGGAATTATTGTGGCAAAGTGATGTTTTAGTTACACTACACGATCAATACATGTTAAAAATATCTCTTTTTTGTCTCTTCCACAGTTTTTGCTTTTGCTGGTTGCTGTTGGAAAAACAAAGGATCCCCTAAAGCCCAACTCCACCAAAATGTTTTTTTCTTAGATTTAGGTGGCATTGGAAAGAGTTTGAAACCTCTGTCAGGTTTTTATTGTTGCCTTTCCCTGTTAAGGAGAGTTCCTTAAATCCAGTCCTTGTGATACCCTGTCATATCCCTGCCCCAGAATTGTAATTGGGCAGGAAATGAGAGAAAATATTTCTTGTAGCAATAAAAACATGACAGAGCTTCAATTTCCACCCTATTGAGATAGGGTTTGTTGATGTTTGTTAATCCATTAAAAAACATTTGTTCTCAATTCCTTACGAAGGGGCAGGCCGACAGAAAGTGATCAAAAATGTCCCTAGTGGGGACAAAGACAGTAATAAAACTTGACTAAGGCTCTAAAGATTTACCACTCCATCCAAATTAGTTTTAACTGAAGGAAGAATTTAATGCAGGGGTCTCAAATGCAATTCACTCGGGGGCCACTGGACATATTATTTTCTCCCAGGGGGACCGCTTGCCAAATTTCATACTTCACACACACACAGATACGCACACATTAAATTACACACTAATGGAAATATGCACAACCCCTCACAACCAGAATTACAAACACTAATATACACACAATAGGGCCCCATTCACACTTGTAAGTTTAGGTGCGATTAGGGATTCCTGCATCAGGGACTTGCATTTTTCTGCAGCAGGAATCCCTATTGTGGCGTTTACATGCGGCAGCTGTCACCCATTCCAGTTAATGATCAAGGGACAGCTGCTGCATGTAAATGCCTACACACCGCATGTAATGGTATGTGATATGATTACATGAGGTTAAGAATCAATCATTATCCCTGGATGCACGATTGATGCATCCGGGGAGAATGATTCATAACTGCATGTAATCATATCACATACTATTAATTGCAGTGTGCAGGCACTTACATGCAGTGGCTGTCACCTGATAATTAACATAAATACATGACAGCTGCCACATGTAAACACCACATTTGGGATTCCTGCTGCAGGAAAACACAAGTCCCCAAAATCCCTAATCTCACCTAAACATACAGGTGTGAATATGCTTCCCCCGCTCCGCCCCCCCACAAAATAATATGCTCCCCCTGTTCCCCGCCCCCCATACACATAAAATAATATGCTTACCCTGTTTCCTGCCCCCTCACATAAAACATGATACTCTCCCCCACACACACACACAAATAGAACAAAGAGCCCCCTCACCTGCTTACATTTTTGCAGGGGGAGGCACATCATTGCCTGGTGATCTGGTGGTTGATTATTAAGGTCTGCACCTTTTTCTGGTGCAGACCTTACTAATCCATCCTTTTGGCCAGTGCTCTGAGCTCCGGCCAAAAGGAACTGAGCGTCAGCACAGCCAGCATCAGCTATGCGGTCTGCATTTGACAGAGATGCAGACCGTGTAGCTGCTCACGCAAGTGGGGTGCGTGGTTTGTGACCGCGTACCTGACTAGTCAGCTGGCTGTGGGCTCCACAGTACCGGTTCGCAGGCCGCAATTGGCCCGCGAGCCAGTACTTTGAGACCCATGATTTAATGTATGCAATCGCTGCTGAAGAGCACACCAACTTGCCCGTCACTGCATGTATTGCTCAGTGCAATTGACAGCATTCTTAGGAGGAAACATGGAGTGCATGGAGGGAAATTGGAACTGACTGCCATTTTTTTGTTTCAGACCCACCCACATTAAACCAAAGTCTGAAAATCTTGTAGATATGTAGGTATAAAATAATATAAGTAATTATATTATAATTACAAGAATTACAACAATATTATAATTTATAGTTATCTCTGCATGATTTTTCCCATTTCAGTGTATGTTTCCTATTGTTGGATCTTTTAGTTCTCGAATGCAGCAACATTATATCATGTCTCTGCTACTTTCTACCACTATGCTGGTACTCAACATTAGCTACATATAAGTTTTATATACATTATTCATTAAAATAATAGCCTACTATAACTTTCACACTCTCCAGGCATAGGCGTTTAAAGACATTTTTAAAATACATTTATTTTATCTTATCACTGGAACACTTAATTAAGTTTTACAGTAGACAAACAAGGCCTGAAATATTAATACAACTCTATATCAACTGCTGCCTCATAAAAATATTATTGGTTGACCTGAAATGGAATTAAAATTAGGAAATAATCTGTTGAGTGTTTGCAGCAACTTTCAGCAGAAGATCCATCATTCTGACTATTAAAAATCTTGTTGCTGGTGATGAAAAAAGATGAAATACTGCACCAGCACATGTCCTCCCAGCAGCAAAACAGACTATAGGTAAAGCCTGGAAAACACCATTTTCCTCCTCCCTCCCTTTCT